GTGGATTGCCTGATGACCTCTATATATTTTAGGATATACCTCTCAAATTTCTTTGCTATTAGCCATGCTAACTGTGGGGATTGATGGGTTTTTTTGCACAATCAGTTTGCCATTTGCCGTGTAGAGTAATTGAGGATGAAAGTCAATAAGAATTGCCTTTTAGATCAGGTGTGTCAAACTCGTGGGATGGATGCGTCACATGCTGGCCCCGCCCCCGCCCAGTTTAGCGAAGGGGGAAAAAAGTCCTGATACATCACATGACGCCTGCTGTGACAATGCGAGTTTGACACCCCTGTTTAATCTGTTTTCTTATTCTTGGTATGGGAATGGAAAATAAACATGCAACTATTGCATTTGTCTTTATAGAATAATTATGCTGGCTGGCTGGCTATGATCTGGTATTAGTAATTGAAGAACAGGGCAAAAAACCAGATGATTTTTACAAGTTTATTTGTGTTGCAGGGCACTTGTCTCCTACTGAATCAGATGGGGATATGCTGGGTTATGATCTCTACAGCAGTGCATTAGCTGACATTCTTAGTGAACCAACAATGCAGCCACCAATTTGTGTTGGGCTGTATGCCCAGTGGGGAAGTGGCAAATCTTTCTTGCTCAAGAAACTTGAAGGTAAATATTTGATTTGAATACTTACTGAATGCTAAACAACAGCTTGGTTATTATTATTACTATTACTATTAAGTTTATTTGCTGGCTATCTCACTATTTGAGGTAAGTTGTTTTTTATTTATTTAAAAATGTATTTATTTAAAGAATGTGTACAGCCATCCATTTCAGATGTTGCAACTGTGGGTGGCAAACAATGAATTAAAAAAAAAAACACTTTCAAATAATTATTTCAAAGAATAAACAGTTTCAATAGGAATCCAACACATTAATAAGTAACTAGGAAATTACAATCGTATCTTTCTAGATTCTGTCCTGTTCATTTGATTCAAAGTAAACAACATGAAAATTGGAGAGCAATCTTTATATCTAACATAAATTCAGAACTGCTATGTGAAAAAAACCCTTTTCCTCTAACTGTTCACAATCATTGGATAAACCTATCTTTTGTACTAATATTTTTTTAAAGAAACTTGCTTTTTATGTTTGCACTTATTCACAAGCTTTAAATTTTTCTCAGAATTGTTTATGTCTTACAATGATTTTTCCTTTTTTTTGTTTTTAGTAGATGTGTTAAATAGAATTATGTATGATTATATTGTACATTTTTATAGTACAATGTAACTGGCAATTGTATTTTTCCTTATCTTTTAATCTGATTTTTAAAACAGCCGTATATTGCACATTCTTATTACTTTATTCATCAGAGGTACATGATACTTTATCAACTCATAGATTTCCCAATTCAAGTGAAATGGTACATGTGTGGTTGGGATTCTTTTGCTTCGCTGTGCGTTTGTTTTGATATTTTGTGTTAAATGGTCTGTTTGCCGATCTAGAGGGATTATTTTAGATACTTCCCTTTTGTTTAAATTATTATCATCAGTAAATTTTGTCACCTTGTGGTCTGTGGTAATTTCTAGATAACTGATGAACAAATACGAAAGCATGAGTCCAAATACAAACACTTCTGCAGTTCCACTGTGAAAACCAACCATTTATTTGTATCTTTTTTTCTTAGTACTTTAATTCTTTTATCCATAAAATCTCTTTGGCTGAGTGAAAGTATTAAACAGTCCAGCTTGCCTCCTGAAGTCTGGGTATTCAATCACTGGAGGTTTTCAAGACATGATTGGACAGCCATTTGTCTGGGATGGTATGAAGAATCCTGTACAGCAGTGATCCCCAACCTTTTTTACGCCGCGGCCCGGTATCCCCAACCTTTTTTATGGCGCGGCCCGGTACCGACAGCTGGGCGCCGCCATCTTGTTTTGATGAAAAAGTGCTTCCGGTGAGCTTTCTACCCGGAAAAGCTCACCGGAAGCACTTTTTCATCAAAACAAGATGGCGGCGCCCAGCAAGCCAGCGGCCCGGTAGGACTTGTTCCACGGACCGGTACCGGTCCGCGGACCGGTGGTTGGGGACCCCTGCTGTACAGGATGGAAGGTTGTTCTATACCAAAGTCCCTTCCAACCGTACAGTTCTATGGAAAATTCACTTCAATTTGTAAAAGATTACAACAGTATCAAGGGAATCACCTTTATTTTTCGTGAAAATAGTATCTATCTTGGTAATTTTATGTTCACTAAAAATTATTTCTCTCTTTTTAGATGAAATGAAAACATTTGCAGGACAGCAGATTGAACCTTTGTTCCAATTTTCCTGGCTTATTGTGTTCCTTTCACTTTCATTGTGTGGCAGCCTTGGCTTATTGCTTGCATTTACCGTAGATGAAAAACTTGGAATAGCAGTGGCACTGAGCTTATTGGCACTGCTATACGTATTTTTCAGTAAGTTTTCTTTTAAGTGAAATTAATTTTTAACTTATTGCATGTTTAAAATTAAGCTGGTACTTTAATGCATAAATGAAGCAAAAGTCAAATCACATTGAAAACTATACCAATGTCACGAGTTGAAAGATCTGTAATTTTGTGGAAATCCTTTCTAGAAAAGAGTATGTATAGAAATTATATCTGTATCACCCCCCCCTCAATCAAAACCATTTGTAAAACACATCGGATGATAGATGTATCATCCAGCAGGAACTCTAATTAACACATTGTATTAAAAAGCATAAACTTTGGTGAATTGGAATTCACTTCATCAGATGCATACAGTGACTAGACTGATCTACTATTTAAACAGGAATAAAGCGGAAAGGAAGGACGGGAAGGCAGGTTGGTGTAGACGACCAAGTTAGATGTAGGATAGATTGCAAGTGTCTTATTAATTAACTATAATATGTTAAAAACTATATTTGTTGATTGATGTGTATCATAAGAAAACATTTAACAAACCAAATTCCTTCTGTTTTTCCCCCTAAAATTGTTGTGGGACTGAATGAAAATATATGATTTTCTTGTATAGCAGTGTAGTAAAATGTACTATATAACATCTTGTAATACTTTCTATAAATGATATTAATATTTAAAATATCTAAACCATCTTGTTTTAGCTGTAATATATTTTGGGAGCCGAAGAGAAGGAGAAAATTGGAATTGGGCATGGGTGCTTAGTACAAGATTGGCAAGACATATCGGCTACATGGAATTACTTCTTAAACTCATGTTTGTGAACCCACCTGAGTTGCCAGAGCAAACTACTAAAGCCTTACCCGTCAGGTTAGAACAATTTATCATACTGTTTTGTTACAGATAATGGTTTTTAAAAGGTTTAATATTGTAAGACCTTTATTGTGGCCCAAATTTGCTAGAATTACTGAGCTGTAATCTTTAAAAGAATGTTATCTGATACTCTTTTAAAGAATTATATTGTATTAGCTATGGATTCTGATGCTTTACTTAAAAATTCATAAATGGCTGCATTATGTATAAAACTTGTCATTTTCCATGTTAGGTCTATTCATTCTGAAGTAAATTTTAATGTAATATTATTTAATAGTCCATCAACATTGGATTGATTTCTTGGGAGGCATTGTTTTACAAAAGTACCGGTCACTTCAATAGTTTCATTCATCTATTGCAGCGGTCGCCAACCGGTGGGCCGCAAGAAAATTTTGGTGGGCCCCAGAGAAATCTCACCCCCAGAGCACCCCCCCCCAAGCAATTAATCCAGACTGCGCAGAAACACAAGGCTGCTCAGCCCACATGGTCCGTGGGAACCCTCCCCGCCCACTCACTTCTTACCCAGCAAACTTATCTGCTAAGTTGCTATTTTTCCTTTTTCCAACCATCATCTGTTCTGCTGTGCTGGGAGATTTAGATTAGCTAGGAAGCAGGAAATGGTTGGATTTCTTGCTTTCTAGCTAAGCACAGCCAAACCTCCTTTAGGACTGAAGGTTTGCTTGCAAGCAAATTCAGTGCAAACTCATGACAAGCAAATTTGAGAGACTGAGCTAGCTGATGGCAGATAGATAGATAACTGAATGGTTCTGTGAGCAACTCAATCTGCCTGCTTTGCCTGATTTTGGATAAAAATTGCTTTTTCTATATAAAAAAAATCAATATTTACATACATGGTGTGTTGTGAATTAATTTTGTGAGTTTGCTTGCTAGCAAATTTTATGAGTTTGCTTGCAAGCAAATTTTATGTGACAGACTGAGCTAGCCAATGGCAGATAGATAGATTTCTGAATGATTCTGTGAGCAACTCAATCTGCCTGCCTGCTTTGTCTGATTTTGGGTAAAAGTTACTCTTTCTTAAAATAAAAAATTCAATATTTACATGCATGGTGTATTATGAGTTAATTTTATGAGTTTGCTTGCTAGCAAATTTTATGAGTTTGCTTGCAAACGAATTTTATGTGACAGACTGAGTAGCCAATGGCAGATAGATAGATCTCTGAATGAATCTGTGATTCTGTGAGCAACTCAATCTGCCTGCTTTGCCTGATTTTGGGTAAAAGTTGCTCTTTTTTATAAAAAAATCAATATTTATATAAATATTTATAATATTCACATACAAGCCATGCCCAGCCAGTCACATGACCACCAAGCCACACCCACAAATTAGGCCACACCCACAGAACCAGTTAGTAGTCCCTGGGATCTAAAATTATGAGTTTGGTGGTCCCTGAGGTCCAAAAGGTTGGCGACCCCTGTTCTATTGTGTCCCTCAAAATTCTATTTTATTTCCATACATTTAATGCATACATATATTGAGGCAGCTTGCCCTGGTGTTCAGTGCCACTGATAGGATCTTTCTCACTCTTTCCCTTTAAATCTAAGAAAGTGGATTGAGTTCTAAATTTATTTCATTTATGTATTAAGGTTTGTATCCCTCTCGAGTCTGAAGAGACTGATTGGCTTACTTTATTCTCTACAGTAAAAGAGTAAAATACAATCAGCAATTCACAAAAAATAAAATCCCCAACATCTTCAGAATATTATATGTCACACACAAGAAAAACTTATAAAGGAAGCCTTACCTTTCATTATGGGTCTGTTTCTAAGACTTTCTAGAATATGCACATTTTAATACTTTCAAAAAATCAAGAGTATCTGATACCAATGATTGGGGACTCAGCAGCTGGTCTGCATTTACTCCCATTTGCAGTGTCCCACAGTCATGTGACCATGATTTTAAATGTTTTTGCTGGAAGTCAGCATTAACTTCTGATTTCTAGCAGAAAAATGCCCCTGAGTTTTATTATCACTAAAAATCAGTGAAACATAATGAAATATAATAAAATAATGGAACATGATGAAATGTCTAATCCACATTTTATTTGTGAGACAATATCAAAACTTAATACTTTATTTGAATTTTATTGGTAGGTGCCTTGAACACTGCTTTGCAGGAAGGAGAAATACAAATGCATTAAGGGTATTAGCCCACAATAAATTATGCAGAAAATTGTTTGACACTGTGATCAGTGTCAATCTGGCTTGTAATAAAATTATCATTGTAGTCTACTGGTAACTAATGCAGAAATGTATTCTTAGGAAGACTTTTACCAAGTTATTTAAAAACTACCAATAACTACTGAATTTGCTCTATTTGCTCAAGCTCTACAAAGAGGCATTTGGATTAAATATGTAATCAAAAATATTTCTATATTTTGTTTTAAATATAGTCTTCATAGTTATGAAGAATACTGTCAATAGTTGTATAAATAATGGGAATGATTAAATAAATGAATTAATTTATCATTTCTTTAATAATAAAATAATATATTAAAATTAAAACCATTAGATTAGTAATGAAAGCTCAGCAATTTAAAAATGTCCTAATAAAAGGAAAAACTCAATTTGTACCAATCAGTAACAATCTACAATTATTTGTTGTTTAAGGTTTCTCTTTACAGATTACAATAGATTGTCCAGCGTAGGTGGAGAAACCTCAATGGCTGAAATGATTGCCACCCTTTCAGATGCCTGTGAGAGAGAATTTGGGTTTTTAGCAACACGTCTTTTTCGTGTATTCAAAACTGAAGAAACTCAAGGTATGTGTGAAGTTGTTGAATTGACCTTTTCTTTTGTTTTTCAGTGATAGCGGCACATTCCCCTCCCCAATACATTTTTCTTTATGATTCAGTCAATGTGAAGTGATGAAGGTATTGGATTAGGATTGGGAAATTCCATGTTCAAGGCCAACCTTGGTTACGGAAATTTACTTGGTGGCTTTGGTCCATTCAGTGTCACCGGATTCATAGGACTGCTGCTAAACTCTTTTGTGAATTGTCTTGAGTTCTTGTAAGCAAATGCAGAATATAAATCTAAGAAACAATATTGATATGCAGTGTTGTTTCACGTTAAAATGCAAAACTAGGACATATAAGTAATGGTCATTCTGCTCAAAATCCTAAACACCTTAGAGCTAAGTGGGAACCAGAGTTGAAAATTTCCATGATTTAAAGGGGACAAGACATTACATCCTTTAAGCAAAAGAATGTTGTTGAGTAGATACTCTCTACGAAGACCAGGACTCTAGAAAACTTTAAAGTAAGAATCTGAGAGTAAGAATTACAGTGAAGTTTACTTCAGAGTATTTATGCATAGCTTTTCTTGGGCTTTTACAAGGGCAACAGGAGAGTTTCACTTAAAATTATCCTAAGTTTAATGAGCTTCACTTATTAGGCAACCAGAAGTAGGTCTTTTCTTCTGTCATATCCAACTTACAGAATACAGGAATAAAATTCAACCCCTGTTCTTTCAGTTTTCAGGAAAGGGTTTAAACCTTTCTATTTAGCCATGGTTTTTAATTTGATTAACAATAATCAATTATTTTGTGAGTTTTATTTTTTTTTAATAGTTAGTTGACTTGGGTGCCTAGTAAGCAAAAAGGCAGAATATAAATGATATAAAATGTATGTATTTGAAGTTATAAATTGTGTTTATCAATTGCTGCTTTGTCTCCTAGGAAAAAAGAAATGGAAGAAAACTTGTTGTCTCCCATCTTTTGTTATCTTCCTCTTTATTCTGAGCTGCATTGTTGCTGGGATCACTCTTACAGCTTATTTCAAAGTGAATCCTGAAAACACGACAGTGAATGCTATTCTGATTTCATTTTTATGCGTTGTGGGTTTGAGCTTTATCTTGAACTGTCGCACGTGGTGGCAAGTGATGGACTCCATCTTAAATTCACAGAGAAAACGGCTTCACAGTGCTGCTTCAAAACTACACAAACTGAAGAGTGAGGGATTTATGAAAGTACGTATTATATAATATAGCAGTTTTGAATTATGTGAGTTTTGTTTAAAGACCACCAGAACACAGTTTAGGAATGAAATGTTCCAGAGAGTGGCATTTGGTTTACCTCTAGATCATGCTGTTATGAGGACAGTAAGGTGAGTTTTCCAGAAGTAAATTCCCCAAACCGGGTTTATAGCATTCTGCATATATTTTTCTAAAGGAAACAGGCCCATTTCAGAGGCAGACTATTCTCAGTATGCTTTGAACACTTCAGGTTTGGAGGATTCAGTTCTGAAACTGACAAGCTTTCCTGTAGTGGAAGGAAAATGGAATATTTTAAGGCTCTTTGGAATGTTCCTGAATCAGTTTTGCACTTTCTGAGTTTAGTTTAACTTGTAATTGATCATGAAGACTCATAAAAATGAAGCAGTTTATCAATAAGATCAAGGACACCCAACCCCGGGCCACAGATGAGTACTGGCCCATGTTACTGGCCTGTTAGGAATCAGGCTGGTGGTGAGCAGCAGGTGACTGAGCAAAACTGAACCCTCCCCCCCCCCCCAACACCTGGTCCGTGGAAAAAATGTTTTCCATGAAACTGGTCCCTGGCGCCAAAAAACTTGGGGACTGCTGAAGTAGATAACTAAACATTATGAGTAAAATTACTTTAAATACTGGGGGGAAAGCTACATTTATGGCATTTAAATTAGAAGTTTGTCTCTCTCTTTTTTTTAATAAAGTTTTATTTGGGTTTTCACAAACAAAATACAAGTAAAACATCTTTTTTGAAAATAGCATGGTCCCGGGTTGAACTTTTTTATACAGACACAAAACTCAATTTCATGCTCCCTTTTGTGTTCTATTCCATATCTTACACTATTTTACATTTTCTATATAGTTTTCCCCCTCTTTTAATTTTCTCAATTTTATTTTGATTATCTCATCTCAATTCAAATCATTATATTTATACTTTTGTCTGTTCTGTTTCAATTTCATATTTTCTCATTAAACAACTTTTCTCCTGTAGTTACTAATTGGAGTATGACACCTTTATATCTTTTAATTACATCCATTCAACTCTTATTTAAACTTCAATATATACCTTAAGTTTATGACCTTCAATATAATACATAATTTCCAATTGAATTCTGCTTGGTACATTCTTATAATACACACTATATTCTTTTTAAAAAAAAGAAAGATTGTAAGTATATGTAATTATAAACCCTCATTCCAATCCAATTCAGTTCTATCATTAATAATCATTAAAATCTTAACATCTTTAACACTTTTCAATTAAATAATCTCCATAATTAATGTTTCCCTTATTTCTCTTCACATATGTTTTATAAATCATTAAATATACCTTTTGTTACATTTATTTATTGACAAGCATTCCACTGAATTATGATAGCTATTTTATCAGACATTTTAATCATACATTGTTTCATATTTTCTAAAATTATTTCTGCTTCTAATATAACCATACTATCTTATGTACCTTTGCAGAATCCCTTTTTCCATTAAATTTTCACCCATTATCTCTAAATAGGCCCTGTTTCTCTATATTTTGTTTCTGTCCTTTATAACTTCTTTTCCTTTCTTTCTTCCCTCTCATCTTCTCCCTCCCCTGTTTACCCCCTTGTCTCTCTACTTCTAATTCTCTCTTCTGCATTTCCCTCTTCTGTTGCTTTCTGATTTTATACTTATTTTTCACTGTATTTTTTTTAGAGTTGTTTTTCCCAATCTTAAACTTTCCATTCTCTTTCCCCCCTTTCCTTCCCCCCCCATCTAAGATTACTTGTTCATTAAAGATGGCTTCTTCTTTGTCGCAATCTTCTTGTTCTGCAGACATTTCTTGTTGTTTCTCATAATTCCAAATCTCCATTTCTAAAAACTGAAATACGAAGCCAAAAGAACCTCTCCCTTCTTGTGCATCTTCTTTGTACTTTTTAAGTTCCATTTTCAGTTCTTCTAAAAGTGGAGCCATTTTAAACAGTTTTAAACAACCACCCGATTGATTTTAGTCATTCAAAACAATAACCAAGAATCCAGAAATCATCAAGTAATCCAGATAGTCCCGAGTTATATCTTCTTATTTCTTTTTCGACTTTCTCTTCCTGGGGTTTTTGTTGCAATATTTCAGTTAGAATGTATCTTTTGGAAGTCTTGTTGAGATTTTGCTGTAAGTTCTTTTTTAATTCCAGGCAGTCTCCTCCCTTCCAGATCCTACCCTTTTATTCTTTTTCTCTCCTTTCCTGTTTTCAAAAGCTTTTGATTATCCAGAAATCTTTATTATCCCTTTGACTTTTTATTTTCAGCATTAAATGCCTATTGATGTCAAAGTGGATTTTTTTTCCAATTTCTTGCTTAAGTCTCTTAGCTGTCAGTATAGGAAAAGGAGGAAACCAAATCTTTTCCCTTTTCTCTCTCCTTCGCAGCTTAAAAATCTTTTTAGGGAACAATGTTATTGTTTTTTAACAGTTTCAATTCCAGGGTACCTTATTTGTTGCTTTTGCTGTTGGACCCCGTCAACCAAAACTTTCTCTTCTTATCTTCCTCCCGCACATTCTTTTCCGGTTGAGTTTTTCTTTGTGGTGACCATTTCTGACCACCGCTGCAACCGCCTTTGGGAAAGGGAGTAATGGCCAGCTGGAGAGGAGAGATGCGGCTCTCCTCAACCCTGCTGGCAGTCTCCCCACTCTTCACCACCTCTACGGGGTGGCTTAGCCCCGAAACCAGCTGGCTTGGGGCTATTAGCGAAGTTTGTCTCTTTTAATATGTTTGTAGGATTGACGTTAAGATGACTGTATTTTTATTTTTGTAGGTTCTTAAATGTGAAGTGGAGCTGATGGCAAAAATGGCAAAAACTATAGATAGCTTTACTCAGAATCAAACCAGGCTTGTAGTAATTATTGATGGATTGGATGCCTGTGAACAGGATAAAGTTTTACAGATGCTTGATACAGTAAGTGTTTAATTGATTTGCCTTTCAAATGTGACTATGAGGCAAGACATTGGAAATGTTCTAATAATTTGCTTTAATTCATATAGCTAATTAAATTCTGAAATAAGTGGAACAAATTATAGCTACTTGTTTTACTGCTTTCACTGAGATTTGCAGCTCAATTCTGTGTACGTTGGAAACCTCTCAATAGATTCAGTGGACTTATTCCTAAGTAGAAATTTATAGCATTGATTATAAATACAAATACATGCTAATTTTAAAATGATAGTCAATTAATGTAGTGAACATGGATTAGTGGAGGCACTTCTGTTTGTCATTCCATGCCACAGTGCTTTGAGCCATTTCTTAAGCCACCTCAGGAACAGTATGGAGACTTCATTTAGTTCAAGGAAAGTTTCATTGTCCAAGCAATCCCTCGGGTATAATGAAAACTATATTTCACATATATTGTTTTATATCTTAAGAAATATTTAAATGTTTACAGTGCTAGGAAAAATAGATGGGTTGTGATATATACTACCTGTAATATATGTAATCAGAAGAAAACAGCAATGGGACATCTTCCATCCCGAATACTACATAATAATTGTGCCCTGAACTAGTTGTGATCCTCCCTCCCTCCCTCAGTTTAATTAATTTTCTTTCCTTTTCACAGGTCCGAGTCCTTTTTTCTAAAGGTCCATTTATTGCCATTTTTGCTAGTGATCCCCACATCATTATCAAGGCAATTAATCAGAATCTGAACAGTGTACTAAGAGACTCAAATATAAACGGACATGATTACATGAGGAATATAGTTCATTTACCTGTATTTCTTAATAGTCGTGGACTCAGTAGTGCTAAAAAGATGATGGTAGCTGCGACCACAAATGGAGATGTTCCATATACAGATAGTTCAGGTATGGTAGCAAAATTATAAATAAGAAATAAGATTATTAGTATTAGCTGGAGAGAGAGACAGAGAGAGGGAGGGAGGGAAAGGGAGAAAGAGAGAGAATGTGTGTGCATATACAGTAGATTTATTTTCACAGGTAGTTTTTATTTTTTCTGCATTTTTATATTGCTTTCAGTATTTTATGAATAAAAAGGCAGAATTAAAAAAGGTGCTAATAACCTATAGTTTATTAGAATTGCATTTTAATCAGAAAATATTTTTAGGATTTCATGAAGACATTGATCGAAGAGTTTCACAGAATAGCCTGGGAGATGTGACTAAGCTTGGAAGTAAAACAACTCTCAACAGAAGGGTAAGAAATTGGCAGTCATGGAAGAAAAATCATTGAATATGTTCTATCAAACAGTTGTCCAATAGATTTAAGTGGGATTTGTTGGATCTAATTTAAATGTGATGAAAACCCTCCAAGCTGAGTGTTTCTACAGATTTGGCATGCAAGCAAGGAAATGGTCTCTCTTACAACTTTATTGACTATTTTTACTTCCTGCTGGGTAGAAAAAGAAAAAAGAAAGGCTTCTGTACCGATGCAAATTACTACTTGAAAGTGATCCTTGGGATCTTAATCTGACTCGATGCGATATTATTTAATACATTTTTATGCTGCATTGTAGGTGAACTTCTGATAAGGCAAATTCCAGTCAAAGCATTCAGAATAAAGCAGAGTTTAATTATATAGAGCTCCAGTAATAAGTCTGATAACATTTGAGAAGTAATGAAAAACTTCAAAGGGCTTCTGAGATTTGAAAAAAATATCCATATGCCTGGCACACTGTAAATGAAAATAGTATAATACTTTTTCTTTAAATTAGGATACCTACAGAAGAAGGCAAATGCAGCGTACCATTACACGTCAGATGTCTTTTGATCTGACCAAACTACTGGTTACAGAAGACTGGTTCAGTGATATTAGCCCACAGACAATGAGGCGATTGCTTAATATTGTTTCTGTAACAGGTAATGTTTATTTATCAGTGCCAAACATTTATAATATTGATCTTCATGGTGAAAGCAGTTTGCCAGTGTAGTATTGGGGAATAAGCATATAGTTTGTTTCTAATCTTTTGCACTCTGTAATGAAATTAAGCAATATTAAAAACTACTGAATTAGGAACTATTCATGTGACAATTTAAAATTATAAATGTGCAAACAATACTTCTGTCTTAAAAACGTTCTAAAGTATGGTAGCATTGTGGTGGCAGAATATACTTTTGTTTAAAGAGTACTGTATAATTGGTATTATTGTTCCTTAGCTAAGAATATCAGGCTTTCTCTTATCAAACTGAAGTCAGCTGAAAACAACACAGAGTTGTTGTGGATTTTTTGTTGGACAAACAGCCTCTCAAATTATTGTGAAAATAACCTAGATAATAAATTCTCCTTTCTGCAAATGAAAGTTTATTTATGGAATAAATAAAAACTCCATTTAAAGAGAGAGCAAGATAGTTGTTACTTTCTTCTGGACTCCTTGCACATCTGTCCTTTCAAAAAGATATCTGCCTGCAGTAGAAAATTGGGGCTTTGTGCTCAGAAAGAAACAGCTTCTCCCTTTTCCAATGAAACTATTCCATTAGTGGAAATATGGATATGAATTAAAAAGTATCAGATACAAAACGCAACATTTGGAGATTGCATTAAACTTTGGAAACAATATGCAGAAATATTTATTCGCATATTTTTAAAATGTTTGGATTGTTAAACAAATCCATTTGATTTATAGTTCAAAGATATAGCTGGGATGACAAATCTCTATTATGAAATTTCAATAATTAGACTGTTAGTTGTTATGCGTAATGTAAAATAAAATTCTTTATTGATACTCACGCAGTCAATCATATATTTGTATTAAAATACTGTGGCTTTGGTATGTTAAAATACAGAGTTAATTCAGAGGAGCATATAATGACTTGTAAGCTGAGATGTGATTCTTCTTAGGAAATTTTGTACTCTGATATTATTTTGTAGGAATGTGAACTATATTGCTAAGCATATAACTCTTGATTTTATAGGGCGTTTATTGAGAGCTAATCAGATCACTTTCAATTGGGATAGGCTGGCAAGCTGGATCAATTTGACAGAGCAATGGCCATACAGAACATCCTGGCTTATATTATATTTGGAAGAAACAGAAGGTGTTCCAGATCAACTAACTTTAAAAACAATCTATGAGAGGTAAGTGTTGTTTTAACAGTATAATCCGTTATTAAATGTTGGCTTCCTATCTATTTCTAATGACAAGTCTCTACCGGCTAATCCAAATATGGAGATCCACTTTGGTGTAAGGGTTAAGGTGCTGGCCTAGTAACCAGGAGACTATGAGTTCTAGCTCCTCCTTAGGCACAGATGCTGGCTGGGTGACTTTCGGCCAGTCACTCACTCTTAGCCAAGCTTACCTTGCAGTGTTATTGTAGGGAAAATGAGGAGGAGGAAATAGTATTAACAATGTTCCTTGACTTGAGTTACTTACCCATGTTTACCCAAAAAGGTCTTATATTAATTTTTGTTCCAAAAGACACATTAGGGTTTTTTCCTGGTTAGGTCTTATTTTTGGGATAATATGGTATTAAATACATCCATCTGGCTGACGAACTTAACTGGGGCTTATTTTGGGAGGTAGGGCTTATATTACAAGCACCTTGAAAAATCATGCTAGGGCTTATTTCCCAATTGGATCTTATTTTGGGGGTAAACATGGTATAATGTAATAAATGAGGAATTAAAATAACATTTTAAAAAATGAACTGAAGTTAATATTTAATCCAAATGTACAATTTGTCAAGATGAAACAGCCGCATTTTATTTTTTTAAATGCTCTTGGAAAGAGGTGTTTCTCCTTGACAGTGGGCCAGAAACATGCTGAAAAAAGTATTACATAGTTGTTTCATGTCAAAATGTGCTCCTTAGCCTACTAATTTTCCAGGTCTTAGAATTTGCTTAACAAATGTCCAATAATTCAGATCCAGAATTATTTTTAATTTCTTTTAAAATGTGTTATGTGTTTTTATTCAGTCGCTAAGTCATATACTATTCTTTGTGACGCCATGGACCATAGCATGCCAAGACCCCTTGTCTTCCACTGTCTCCCAGAGTTTTCCCAGATTCATATTCATTGTGCTGATGACACTATTTAACAATGCCATCCTCTGCCGTCCTCTTCTCCTTTTGCCCTCAGTTTTTCCCAGCATCAGAGTCTTGTCCAGTGAATTGTCTCTTCTCATTTAGTGGCCAAAGAATTTGAGCTTCAACTTCAGTATCTTTCCTTCCAAAAAACAGTCAGGGTTGATTTGCTTTAGGATTGACTGATTTGTGTTATGTGTTAAAAATATAAAAAGTAGCCATTCTGGTTAAAACTTAGATTTATTTAGTCCATTTTATCAGAAGAAACTCACATTGGTACAAGAGAACCTTCCAGGCTCTATTAGCTAGGAAGTGGCATTAAAAAACATATTGCTACTGAGATTAATGTATAAAATCATGCTGATAATCACTGATATCTGGACCCAATAAAATGTTGCCCAGATTGGCAGCTCTTATTGAATCTTTTAATTATTGCTTTTTGCAGCTCTTTCTTTGTTATCAATAGTCAATTTCATCGATTGGCTAGATTCTGGTGTAATAGGAAAGAATTTATTCACTCTCTCTGTACCATGTATATATAATTTTATACACTTTGACTGTGTCTTCACTTACCTTTAACTTTAAAAAAGCTCACATTTAACTTTTTTTTCCTGCTAGACAAATTGTTTTAAGTCTCTGTGTCCCTTTCTGCACTTTTTCTAACTTTTTGAGGGGCACAGATTGGGAAATGATTACTGTGATGCTTATAAAGAATAAGAAATTGTTAATTCATAGTATTAATAAAAGAAGCTGTTATATTTCCAAATTAAACATTTAACGTAATATTTAGTATGACACTGAACTGGCAAAGCTTGAAAAATGCCTGTTAAAGTTTATACAGATTATTTCATTTAAAGGTATTGATATCATATTTGGATAGCAGTAATTTAGTTTGAATTTTGTTGTTACCTAGCAGTACTTGTTTGCCTCTACATCCACGCAAAAAGTTTTCTTAGAATTAACAGTGAAATTTTTTGTTACAGCTTCAGAAGGTAAGATAGACAGATAGGTTGTTATATCCTATTCCAACTTTATAAAAATGATCAGGTAATTTCTTCTTGATTTATGCACTCAAAATTAATTTTTAGTAGGCTCAAGCAAGTTATATGTCATTAATATGAGTTTTCTAACTGGCACTTCTTATTTATTTTGGTGGCTAACAGTTCTTTTTCTGCAAAAGGCGATATCTTTGGATGGAGCTTGTTTCTTCTCTCTAGCAGAGGTAAAAACGTGTTGACAGGTTAAGAAAATAATAATGTTGTAGATGTGGCAGTTACAGAGCTATTAAAACAGAGTTTCCAAAATATAACTAATAGTATTTGCTCTTTTGCAGTATGAATCCCCAACATTGGTTTCATTGCTGTCATTCTTTAGGGCTTTTTGTAATACAGATACATACAGTTCTATTCATATCTGTTTGGAAGATTCCATTGAGTTGAAAGAAACTTACAGGTGAAACTCGAAAAATTAGAATATCGTGCAAAAGTTCATTTATTTCAGTAATACAACTTAAAAGGTGAAACTAATATATGAGATAGACTCATTACATGCAAAGCAAGATAGTTCAAGCTGTGATTTGTCATAATTGTGATGATGATGGCTTACAGCTCATGAAAACCCCAAATCCACAATCTCAGAAAATTAGAATATTACATGAAATCAATAAAACAAGGATTGTACATAGAACAATATCGGACCTCTGAAAAGTAGAAGCATGCATATGTACTCAGTACTTGGTTTGGGCCCCTTTTGCAGCAATTACTGCCTCAATGCGGCATGGCATGGAAGCTGTCACTGCTGAGGTGTTATGGAAGACCAGGATGCTTCAATGGCGGCCTTCAGCTCTTCTGCATTGTTCGGTCTCATGTCTCTCATCTTTCTCTTGGCAATGCCCCATAGATGGGGGTTCAGGTCTGGTGAGTTTGCTGGCCAATCAAGCACAGTAATCCCACGGTCATTGAACCAGGTTTTGGTGCTTTTGGCAGTGTGGGCAGGTGCCAAGTCCTGCTGGAAAATGAAGTCAGCATCCCAATAAAGCTCATCTGCGGAAGGAAGAATGAAGTGCTCCAAAACCTCCTGGTAGATGGCTGCATTGACCCTGGACTTAATGACGCACAGTGGACCAACACCAGCAGATGACATGGCTCCCCAAATCAACACAGACTGTGGAAACTTCACACTGGACTTCAAGCATCTTGCAGTGTGTGCCTCTCCATTCTTCCTCCAGACTCTGGGTCGTTGGTTTCCAAATGAGATGCAAAAGTTGCTCTCATCAGAAAAGAGGACTTCGGATTACTGAGCAACAGACCAGTTCTGTTTTTCTTTAGCCCAGGTTAAGACGCTTCTGACGTTTGTTGTTCAGGAGCAGCTTGACAAGAGGAATACGACATTTGAAGCCCATGTCCAGGATCCGTCTGTGTGTGGTGGCTCTTAATGCACTGACTTCAGCCTCGGTCCACTGCTTGTGAAAGTCCCCAACACTTTTGAATGGGCTTTTCCTGACAATCCTCTCCAGGCTGCAGTCATCCTTGCTGCTTGTGCACCTTTTTCTTCCACACTTTTCCCTTCCACATAACTTTTTATTAATGTGCTTTGATACAGCACTTTGGGAACATCCAACTTCTTTTGGAATAACCTTTTGAGGCTTTCCCTCTTATGGAGGATGTCAATGATGGTTTTCTGCACAACTGTCAGCAGTCTTTCCCATGATTGTGCTTCCTACTGAACCAGACTGAGAGACCATTTAAAGGCTCAGGAACCCTTTGCAGGTGTTATGGCTTAATTAGCTGATTAGAGTGGGACAATTTGAGCCTAGAATATTGAATCTTTTCACAATATTCTAATTTTTTGAGATTGTGGATTTGGGGTTTTCATGAGCTGTAAGCCATAATCATCACATTTATGACACATCACGGCTTGAACTATCTTGCTTTGCATGTAATGAGTCTATCTCCTATATTGGTTGGCATTACTGAAATAAATGAAGTTTTGCACAATATTCTAATTTTTTGAGTTTCACCTGTACTTTAAAATAAATATGAATAATAAGTATCACATGTATCTTCTAAATACTGTAACTAGTTTCCTTCTTCCAGTAGATGGCACTGCTATATTTTTATTAAGGAGACTGATGTAATACTGTTACAAATTTGATAGAAAATGTATGGTTAATCTCAGATCTCCAACTTAAAAAAAGTAATTTTGTTATTTTAAATATTTGAATAGTTTTATTAATCCATTTCAAACAGAAATGCATAAAATAGAAATGAACAGTCACTGAAGAGGAAGGAAAAATGCATAATACATAAACATAAAAAAGTAGAGTCTGGAACTGCACATCTATCCCAAGTTCACCTGATTTGTAAGTCTTTAAAATAGAAAAATAAACTTCCAATGTTCCCCAAGCCTGTGCATTTTCCCCCCAAAGAGAGCAATAATGTGACATTTTCTGATTAACAGAAAAGATACATTTTTTTCAAAATTGCTAAATCACTTCTCTGAAATACAATCCTTTACATATGGAATTGTAATATTTCCCATCTCCAGAAGTTAATGTATAATTCGGTTCAATATGTGTTCCTTTAAAAACAGTTTACTCAGCAATTCTGTGAACATATTGTATACTATTTTTTCAAGAGGTACAAAGGAGAACATACCATAACATATGTGTTAGAATGCCTTTACATTTTTTGCAACACCAACACACATAATGATCAGTCCATTCTTTACAAAAGTAGTCTAGAAGGTGTCAAGTAGATATGAAAAACAATATAATTAGATGGATTAATTTCAACTTTAAATCACAGATCATAAACCTAATTTTCTTCAAAACTTGACTCCATTGGCTTGAAAAGACTGGTGTTTCCAATTCTTGATTATAAGCTCTTGTATATTTGTTACAGATATTTTAAACCGTTCCTTTACCATTTCTCTTTTTGACAGAAGAAAAAAGTGGTTTGAATTGAATTCTTCAGTATTCATAATGTATCAGATATTTTAAAAGCTGTTAAAGCATCAGGTCCATATTGACCCATCAAAACATGGGTTTATTTCCATTGATGAATTGATGGTAAAGAAAATTATATTTGCAGAAGCTCAAAAAAAAATCATTAAATAAAAACTGATTTCTTAATAAGATTCTGAATGAAAATTAAACCTATCGCCTAACACAGCCCAAATATGTGTTACCTGTAGCAAAGTTGGAAATACTAGTCCATTACTTAAAACTTAAAATATTTAAATAACTAAATACAAGAATGGCAATTTCTTTTCCTCCCCCTATAACAATCATTACAATAAAATGTTGAATTTAAAATGTAAGCTAGCAATATTTCTGAAAATCTGGAAGATCAAAATTCTTATCTGTCATAGACAAATGAATTTTAGAAAGAGATTTTAGGTATGATACCACCTCAAATAAATTTTCTCAAAAGGATGTTGTAGAGCAGGGGTGACAAACTCAGGGCCTGTGGGCTGGATCCGGTCCATGGGGTGCTTAGATCTGGCCAGTGGGGGCTTCATGGAAATG